ATAGGCAATAACCTCGCGAGTCACAATAATACTCCACTGAGCGCTGCCACCACAACATGCGTATCCACTATAACTAATACAGTTACCACGGCAAATACTATCGCTCACAGAGACATGGTGGCCTGCAGTCTGTCCGGGCGAAACAATAACTCACCACGTGGACACAGCCCCAGTCGGGAAAGAGATAGTTACAGGTAAAATATTTCCCTACGATCGCAGCACTCACGGCCACCTTGGTCGGAATTGAGTAATTCGTCAGTTAACGGGCAATTTTAATAACGATTGTAATGCTTGTTACAGCAGTAACGTGAGTAGTCTAAGCCGAGGCAGCATAACGCCTGTTAGTGTGCCAAACACCTCCTCTCCAGCCAATTCTAGTCTACCTGCGTACACCAAGCCACAAGGTTGGATTAGGTATGCCTGAGCAAGTTTGAGCTTCCCGATAAAAGTCAAGCGCGAAAACAACGATAAAAATCTTTTATCTTTAAAAAAAAACCAGCAGCAACACAGCTTCCCAGCTGTCCCCAGCGACAGCGACGTCTGTCCCGAGGCCAACACCGCCACCGGTACCACTCGGCATACACACGTTTCCACCACCGATGTTCGCAACGCCTTTACCACCGCCAGTGTCTAGTTCAAGCCCGCATACTTCACTGCCCTCGCTTCCTCCGCCAACGACTAATCCCAATCCGTTTTCCGCGGAGTCTCTGTTCCAAACAAGTAAGCTTACAATCTCACTCTCGTCAATGTAACGTGTTCCATGCGAATACAGACAGATAATAAATACACTAAAAGAAGGGGTGACACATGTCGCAGGTCAAGCAGATCTTCTGAGGAGAGAACTCGATAATAGATTCTTAGCGTCTCAGGACAGAAATGTTGGAGTGGGAGTGGGGAATTTGGGTCCACCGGCGTATCTTCGGACGGAAATGCATCATCATCAGCATCAGCACACGCATGTACATCAGCACACGACACCGTTGTTGCCATCAGCTGCGGCGTCGTCGCTTTTTCCACCACCTATTGTAAGGAATACATCCGTTAGCCAATGAGACTAAAAATTTATAATATCGTAACTAATTGTTTGGTCACGATAAACTTATTATAAACTCGTCCACACATGTAAATTGACGTTAAACGATATTGTCTTTTAATAGTTTAAGGACATCCCAAAATTGGGAGGAGTCGAATCGCCATTTTTTCGTGGAAACTTAAACCTTTCTGGTTATTCTGGTTTTAACACTGGCCTTCTTCATCCCGGAATTGGACCGCCCTCGACGCCCTTCGTGCCACCCAATCACTTGACTCCGTTTGCGCCAAAGGTACTTTTATACACGTAGCTAAAAATTCTCTCACGTCTCGGTACATTGTTTGTACAAACTTTGATCTTTTAATCCAGAAAAGTGGAAAATGGAATGCAATGCACGTGCGTATCGCGTGGGAGATATATAATCATCAGCAAAAGCAACAGGCTGAAGTTAAGGCGGGAAATGTTAGTACCAAGACTGAGTTATTAAGACCACCGGGCCATCTATATCCAGGGGGACCAGCCAGTGGTCTTGGACTCGGTGCACCACCAATGGCACCCCCGTTTCCCACTAACATACAGTCTGCTCATCCTGCACCACCTCCACCTCATCCTGTCGGTTTTCTGTCTACAACGCCCTCACATTTAGGTAATAGAGGTAACAAAGGTTCACATTTTATTCTCACGTGCGCACGTTCGTGTGTTTGTAGACACATACATCGAACTGCATTATAATTATCAGTGTTTGCATCATTGTCATGATATTTTTTTTAAATATATACTACAGGAGCAGGAATATCTCCCTTTGGAAGATATCCTTCAACGTTTGGCGCGGCGAATCCCAATTTTCCGAATCTTGCAACTTTTCCGCCAAGGGAAATGCCGCCTCTGGGTGGACTTGGTACGGTGCATGATCCATGGCGAGGGTACGTGTATGAAACATTAACTAGCTGTCGAGCCGATATTTTTTTTCTATTGTGAACATATTTTTCACCGACATACGTATAAAATTTCAGGTTGCAACGCGCTACTACTGGATTCCCACAGACCACCGTTGCGTGGAGCTTGAAGCCAGAACCTCCTGCGATAGACAGGCGCGCCGAGCTGGAAGAGCGGGAGCGGGAGCGCGAACGGGAGAGAGAACGCGAGCGGGAGCGTGAACGTGCCGAGCGGGAACGCGAGCGTATCAGACGCGAGAGAGAACGGGAGAGGGAGAGAGAGGAGCAACGTGAGAGAGAAAGGCGGGAACGGGAGAAGGAGGAGAAGAGGAAACAGCAGGAAGCGGCCGAGCGGGAGCGAGAGAGGCGGGACAAGGAGCGTCGTGAGATGGAGAGGCGCGAGATGGAGCGTGAGAGACTGCTTCATCAGAATCGACAACATGTGGTTGTTCCCCGGGATCGTTCGCCGCTCAGAAATGGCTCGGCGCCTTTGGATGTCGGGGAGGTGCGCGTGAAGGAGGAACCGCGCAGCAAAGACGACGAAGTTGTAATGCTTCCACGACCGCCGGTGCCCGGTCCCGGAGCGACAGGGTCCGCCGCAGGACCTGGACCAAATCCACTGCCCGATCCGAGACCATATCATCACCCGCATCCGCATGCCTACCTTACGAGGCATCCGCATAGTATGCCAGCTTCACATTCTATACCGCGTAGCATGCTTCCCAGTTTAAGCGCACATCCAATGCAACATTTTCCACCGCCATCTGCGCCCGCTGGTCAACCGGGAGCCGCCTGGCCGAGCGATCCTTTCCGGGAGTATCGGTTCGACACGTTGCAACAGCTACGGTATAACCCGTTAATGGCGTACAGGGTCGAAGAAGAGGAACGGGCGAAATTGTTCGCCAACTATCCCCCACCGCAGGTAAACACACTCAGGAGTAAGGACCCCAGTCCAGGTCCGCTCAGCAACTTGCATATGCATCATAGAGCGGGACCCGGCCCAGGCGGACCGACGCGTCCGCTTGAAAACGCCCTTATGCACGCGGATATTCACAAGAAAGAGGACGGATCGCAGTCTCGATGATACATCGCTCCGGCGTTCTCGGTTTCTGCGAGCGAACGCACTGACGGGCCGACTTTTTGAGCACCCCACACCCAGTTAACATTCGAAGCTCGGTGCTGATATTTTGCTAACAGAGAGAAGAAGCGTTATTTAAAAAAAAAGAAATTGTACATAGACACTATATAAATATATATAATATTTATAGTTATCGAGAAAGAGTGCGGAGGAACACGTAGAACTATGTGAAAACGTAACGAAGATGCCTTGCTACTAATGCCGGTGTTCCACCAAAAACGGCGGCTAATGATGAGTGATGACGTTCGTGAATTACGGAGGCATCGCTGATGTGTCACAAAATAATAACGCTGTCGTTATGTGATTTCTGCAGTTTCAGTGATCTGACTGTCTGTAGTGGTAACGAGCTCTAATTATTACGACGATAACTATGCGTACATTTTAAAAAAGTATCGTGTGTAATATTAATAGTTATTATATAGAACGTGAGGCGATGGCTACGTAAAAAAAGGGAAAAAAACAAATCCGAGTTAGGAGAAAGAGTTAAGCGGATCTCTATTATTACTCAAAAATTATTTAATTATTTATTTATTGCGACGTATAAACGAACTTGAATCTCTACTGACAAGTGCGTAAGATTTGCCCTTATTTAATTGATGTAATATACAATGATCGAATGTAAATTTTACTTCTTAGAATTTAATTTGTATATTAGAGACGGTAGAAAAAGAGGAGAGGGTATATAAAATGAAAAGTGTTCTTTGGCTTTCGGCGGCACATGCTTTTTTCATTTGCATGCTGGCTAAAAGCACTCTCGTGCTTTCCTGTGATATAAAAGTGAAAAATTAATCAAGCGTAGTAAATCATTGATTCTTTTACCCCAAAAAGTCAAAGATACAAATAAAAGTAAAATCAAACTATTTCTGATAAAGTTACGGCAATTAGATTTTTTATGTTTTCAAAAAAAAACACAGGATGACGCTTAATATACCAGCAGTTTGTCCGTGCCAAAATGCTTCAATCAAATATTTAATACTGTGTGCATGTGCATATATAACATTCAAAGTCTTTTTAATACGTTCCCAAAAATTAAAATTATGGCATTTTTATCCTTCTCTTTTAACCATTCTCTCAATTTCTCAGCCATATACGTCGTTGTGTTACCAGAGAGCCAATTATGAGATCTCTTAAAAGTTCTGTGCCATGGACCAGGTTACGTTCGAATATTCCTGGTGCCTCAAAAGAAAAACACGACTTTTCCGAGTAATCTAAATAATTCCCAGACTCTGTTCCGTTTATATTGTAAAATCACAGTAAAATTGTATATTATATAATTAACAACTATACACACGCAGTTAAAAAAAATTGTAGATATTTTTCATCGACGCAAAGTTACAATGTGATGCAATGATTTTGTTCATGTAGATATCGCGAAGTATAAAAGAGGATTTTGTGTGAATAGGTTTTTTCTAAAACTGATTCTTTGTAAAAGGATCTAATAATCATAGTTTCTATCAATCTTGTTGTTTTTAGTATTTTTACCAGTCCTACATAAGATTATATATATATAAAAAAAACAGAAATGGAAGTAAAAAAGAAGACAAAACAGAGAAAATTATGTTCATATATACATGTGTATGAACAATTTCTAAAATATATTTATACATATTATCTCTTTTATATACATATATATGCTGAGTTATATATGTATATATGTATATATACACGTATAATTTTTAATGTACGGTCAAATAAAAATGGTTGACTTTGCTTTAAACACCTTCGTTCAAATCAACAATGAGGGATCACATATGCTAAACTTGAGATTGCAGACAAAGCTCGGAATTAAAAACAGCAAATAAGTGTATATGTATATACACGCTTCATTTGCTAAAAATGAAAGATAAACATTCTGAATGTACTATAGCCAATACTTTAATATATTATAAACCTTATGTTAGAGGATTACACATTTTCTCTCACACTGTCACATCTCTTGCATAGCATCAGTCAAGAAAATAATTTTGTCCGTTTCGTTCATTTCTCTTTGTCGTATGTAACGAGTTATTTAATTAAATTCCATGATTCATTTTTAGTACACCAAATACAATTAGGAATAGACTAACAAAAATACAGATTAATATCAATGTTTTTTTTATAAAAACTGTTACACTATTCTTTCTACATTCGTTCATCTTAGTGTTGTGAATGATGTAAATATTACACAACTAGTTTGTAAACACTTGAGGTGTCAACTACGAAAGACCATCAATACATGTTGCAAAATCAGTATATTTCAAGAGTGCGTTTCGACGAAACGTAAAACTATTGTGATATTTATAAACGAGTTTATGATTCGCCATCGGCAAACGTACCATTATTATTAAGACAATCGTTACACATTACATTTTTTTTTAGTGCACTAACAATTATTCGACAATATTGGTCATATCCAGTTCGATATCTTGTATGTACAATGCGATGAAAAGTCATTATCGAGAACTACTCGAGCTGGATCTTGTGTAACGACGGTGTCGATGTCGAGGGTTGCCCGGTGGACTCCGCGATCGAGTTCTTATTCTGCGCCGTGGCGGTCGCGGGCTTCTACGGCGATTCATGAGCGGCGAACGTCTGCGGTAACGTGGCGGTGTGTTTCTACCACCGCCTCCCCATCGCGGGGGCGCGCGTCTTCCCATACCCGGCGACATGCGCCGCATCGGCATCGGCCGGGGCTTCGGCAACAATACTGGAGCGGCCGTGATTTCTTGCCCATCTATCTGCCCTGTGAACAAGAACGATGCGAAATGTGTTAGCATGACAATAAAGGTGGTCCATTGAGCGACGCCAATATGAATCGCGTCTTACCTCCGTCCATGTGTTTCATTGCATTCTCAGCTTCGTCTGCAGTTTCAAATTCGACATAGGCAAATCCCCTACCCTGATTGGGGTGAAGCTTCTCCAACGAGAAGTCAACCATCTTTATTTGGCCATACACCGAAAATATCTCTATGACGTGGTCTTTGGTGACGTTCCGCGTTAAGTGGCCAATGTGTATTTTTGTTGGTCTAGGAATCGGCGAACGCTCCCTACGCTTCCTGCGTGGGGAGGGAGATCTGCGAGATTAAAAAAAGAAACAGTTGGTAAATTGGCAGTTAATCGTAAACAACAAAATCATTAATTTTATAACAAACACGATACCTGGATCGTCCTTTTTGTTTAGTTTTATCGGGAACGGCATTGTTCCCTTTCTTCCTCTCTTTCTCACGCTCTCTGTCCTTGTCTCTATCCCTTTCCCGTTCTCTCTCCTTGTCCCGCTCCTTCTCCTTATTGTCGTGTCTCCGCGAGGCATCGGCGCTCTTGCTCCGACTTCTTTTTCTTCCTCGATCTCTGGAACTGGCAGAAGAGCTGGCCGAACTGCTAGACGAGCTACTCGACGAGGAGCTAGATCTGGAGCTGCTGCCGCTACTCGAGCTCGAAGATCCAGAGCTGCTGTCCGACGAGCTGTCGAATACAATTCAACGTGTATGCATCAGTAACATATACTTTAAAATATTGGAGCAATCACTGAAAAAATGTCCAAGTTTCTGATTATACAAGAGCTCTAGAATATGAAAGAACATTCCACCACAATGGTTCCTCTTTGCATTTGCTGTCATCAAGTGGACCATTGAAAACAAATTAATGAACAAGTCTAACGTGGACAACTACGTAAA